GGGTACTATAGTAGAAAGTAACTAACTTCATTCCGGCTTGCCATTTATTAAAGTATTCTTGTGCTTTCATTGTACAGTATTTATTTTCCAACCTACAGGCCCACGTCGAGAAAGTTTCCCAAGCACTCATCACCTTAAAATCAGTGTTGCCACTCGATACGAGGGATTCAAGCTTAGTATATATGGTTCCCGCCAAGTTGCTGACATGAGACTGATTAAAAAAAAAGAAAAAGAWGCATWATATGTAATCTATGACTGTAAATTAAGTATTGTCATCATTGCGCAAAATATCGATGCTAACCTTGAGGTTTGCGTATCCYTTGTCACTGCGAGGCATGCGCTCTAATAAATAGGCAAAGCCGTTCATTGCCGAATACCACGGTGTAGTGTTGTTTTCGTTCTTCAGGTATTTGGACAAATGCAATGGCAATGAATAGTCCAATCGGCCCGACCTCGCCARATTAAAAGCATCGTCTATCAGCTGGGCACGGTTGAGGACGTGGATATCGTTGGGTGTATCGTTCAGCTGCTTGATCAGTGCCATCCAGTTGTCGCTGTCGTAGTTCACTCTGTACAAACCTGTTTGACAGACGGAACGGTTATTTGAGATCGATTATTTTTCGGTTTTTCGGCTGTTTTTCGGCCGTCATAACCATTACTTACCAACGGATTGTAAGTTGAAAATGTACCAACTCAAATTTCGGGGGGCCGTTATAACAGTTGACGCCGATTCTTTATTCGTCCAAACGGATGGTTTTACATCACTAAAATTTTTAGTCACATCAGTTGTGAACGTAAGACCAATGTGCCATGCCGCTGTTTCGTTGACGATTCCATCGGTCTTATTGATATAAAACTGGCTCTGTATATTAAAGATATAAATAMATTTAAATTCAAATAACTTTTTGTGCTGAATTTATTTAAATTTATGATCATCATAATATATTATTATAAGTATCAAATTACTAATTAGTTATTAGTAATTAGGTAATATTCAATATTAAATTAATTATATTTAATATTAGAATTATACATGTATTTTTTTTTTACTTGAATCACWACAAATGTATTTGTAGTTGTGTTTCTCATTATATTCAGTACCGGATATCCTGACTGTAAGGTCCAATTGGACATGAATTCGTTTACCGTCAATTTATTCCCAATGYCATGATTATATTCGTATAACACATAGTCAAATGATGAAAATAGGTCTGAAGGCTCTGCCACACTTTGACTATAAATAAAATCCAACAATCATTTCTAACTTAATTTTATACGAATCAATATTTAATAGGAATAATATAGACTTTTAAATGTTTTTAACACTTAATATTGGTATGAAAACATATTTAATATATACCTCATAGTGTCCAAGTAATGTTGTAGGGACATTTTGAATAAATGTTTGGTCACAAACGTATTCAACATTCTCAAAACCRAAGCTGCCTTTTTATACGATATTGGATCAAATACGTTTTTAATCTCTTCAGGAGTGCTCACGGATGCAGTTATTGGATGTCTGGGCTTTTGGTCATATGCCAATGCACCCTGAAACGCTTCGATCACAAACAGTTCTTCCATTGGCCAGTTGGGTCTCACCTTTTCCGACAAGGGCAAACGAATGTTTAAATAAAAAATATAATATAGACATTATGATAGTATGTATTTTGTATTTTATACCATTTCGGTGGMAAAATATTGAAAGTACTGCGCAAAACCCTCGTTCAACYATAAATAATCCCACCACTTACAGGTGACCAGATTCCCGAACCATTGATGAGTGAATTCATGTTGTACAATTATAGACGCACGCATTTTCATTCTCGCTTTCGAATCATCCGATAGCAGCAGATAGGTTTCCCTGCAAAAATTAAAACACCCGGAAAACAATAATATTGATCGTCAAATTTACTCATCCGTCATGTCTTACTGATAAACATTGATTCCCCAATTTTCCATCGCCCCAAAACTCAAATCTGGTACGGCCAATAAGTCCATTTTAGGCAGCAAATATGACAAGCCTGTGTACTCTTCCAGTACACGTAAATGTTTTGGAGCTTCGTTAATTACGTACTGGGTTTGATTGGATAATTCTTGATATGTGTAAACCGTTATCGCTGATGAATTGTACTTATCATATATTCTGCTTGGTACAAATTCACCCACGTAAATAGCAACTAAGTAACTCGACATCCTAGGTGTTTGTATGAAGTAAACCGTTTCCGATTGATTCAAACTATATTTGAGATTTTATTATTAATAATTGTTCAATGACATAATATAATTGAAATTTCATGTTTTAATTGGACAATTTACAGCCATGCTAATTTTAAGTTAGAAATTACATGGTAAATCGTAGATCATAATATTTTCGTTTTATTGAATTAGTGCTGATTATTATTTTTAGTAATGTATTTAATTAGTAATTACCATATTAAATGGTTCTTTTTATATTAGTTTGAAAATGTTATTTTATTATAATTATTATAATTATTTTATGCTATTCTTTTTTATGGACGCTAATAATTATTTAAATTAAATTCAAAATGATTGAAATACAATACAGTATTGAACTTCGAAGTTCCCTTTTGTAGTTTAAGAGATACATTAGTTATATCAGTTTTTAAGACATTTTGAATTTCTTAATTTCATATTATTTATATATTAGATTAGATTTTAAATAATATAGCATTTTTAACCACCACTTAGTATAGTTTAGTGTGTTTAATTTATGAAACACCGCTGGCACATCAATATACATTATTGATTCATGGTGAATCTGAACAATTTTTATTTTTTATGAAATATCATGAAAATATCAAGTAGTTATCTTAAGTCAATATTAAGCGTAACGCTTAAAGCGTTTATAAATATACGTATTAGATTTTATAATACGAATATTTTAAACATTACTAATTGAATGATCATCATTAAGTATAACTAGTATATTAATTTACAACACTAGTTATATGCTATGCTCTATAGAAATACAATATACATGGTATATTGTTATGTTGTCTAATTGTAAATATCTTATGTATTTTGTTAGACCTATTTTATTCCTGACGTTTTATTTGTATAATACAAAAAATAATAAATTTGTTTAAAACACATTATTTATGTATTATATGACACTTTTTACTAACTATTTGTTATATAATAGTGTTATAAACTGTTCGATATTCGATTAATATGTCACCTTAAGCACACTTTGATCATAATATAGTACACATTAATTGCCTAAAATGTCAGGTACTCAAGCGTAAGTAATAAAAAAAWTTTACAAGTACCTTTATCTTGTCGATTAACGAGACTGCTGTTTACTTTTTAAATGAATTATAATAGTATTCACAATATAAGATCAATCTTTTTATTTAATTTTAAATATAAATGGTTATCAACAACAATATGACCATGATAAGCAGTTATAATTAAATCGAGTGATGTTTTCACATCATCATTTAAACTCTAAGTAGAGCAATGAATGTATTGGTTTTACAATGATTGAGGTTTTAATTTAGTTTATTTATTTTATATATATATATTTAGAACCTGAAATTATGTTTTAGAAAGTTAAAAAATATTTTTAGTCATTAATTTTGAGAAAGATTTGTGGTAGCGAATTGAAAAGAATTATTATATCGGGGGTGCAAGTCTCCAGTACTTTTGAAACTAATCATGATATTTCCACAATGTTCAACAAAATCGAATTTGATTTTTTGCTATAATTAACAAAAAAAACAATTTTAATTACTTAAAAAAAAATTATGTCACAAGCTTGAAAATTTAAAATAAATTTATCATAAGCTACTCTTACAAAAACAAAAAAAATTCAAAAACCCAGTCAAAATTATTTTTATGTATGTTTGAATTACAAATTTTGACATATATTTTTAAAATGACGAATATTTTCAAATAATTTTGTTGTTATAAAAATGTATACATTTAATAATTATTTATTTTAGAGCCTTGTATTTKWMAAATACAAGGTTTCTTCTAACCTTAGTTCACATACATTTTCAATAATCTTCATTCAAACCATATGAATGCATCGATTTTAATCCTTTTTTTTCATGACGTTTTAATTCTTATTTTGTTATTTATTCAAAATAGGTATTTAAATTAGGTTTATACATAGCTAGATACTATATATAGGTACTCACATCTTTCTATGGTCCGTCAAAATTTACTTATAAGTTAATAGCAATAAAAAATTATACTTAAAATATATTTTGGCACAATCTAGTTCAATTCTAAGTATTAGTATTGGTTAGTACCTAAATTACTGTTCACTATGATAGTAATATCAAAAATAAGGCTAACTAACCGTTTTTGCTCAAAATATGTTTCAGCGTACTGTAAAACATTATAATAGTGATTTGTCTTGAATTCAATTGTATTTACTCCAACCATTTTAATAGTGACCTACTTACTGACAAATTTTACACGAAACATACTAGGCATCACTCTGATACATGATTGACTTCCGCATTTTTTTTTTAAATATCTACAGCGTTAAAATAGTACTGTTTATGAGAATAATAAAAATGGAAAGAAAATTGTCCAAGTAAACAACTCACAATATTTTGCAGAACTACTGAATATTATTTATAGTAATTACTCAATCACATCATATTGTTTTTAAATTAAAAAAAAAACAAATTACTCAAGCCTTGCAATCACTGAATGAAATAAAAACTATGAAACCAACATAAACTGATTAAGAATAGTATGAATAAGATGAATCATTAACGATGAATAGTTTATAAGGGGAATAAACTCTAAATGACTCATTATTTATTCGTCGTACGTTATTAAATATAAATAATAATACTAATCAAATGTGTATTGATTTAAGTAAAAAAGTGAAATACATTCTCTCAATCAATCTATTTTAAAGATTCATTTATACGATTCTATTATAAATCTCTTAACACCAGAATTATACATGTAAATATGCATACATATTAATATATATTATTCGTCCATACATAAAATATATAACTGTGTTAAAAATTAATAATCCTTGTCACCCAAATTCAGTATTAATGTAAAATTTCTATACATATCCACTTAATATAATTGGACGGCATTCGGTGAAAAGGGTATAAGTCATTTTTTTGTCATTTTGACGTTATGCATCAATTTTGTAGGAAATTTCACGCCGGATCTAATGGTGGCACTGCAAATAGTCCACCTGTTTTAAATATTGTGTAAATTGCATATTGTGTGATAAGGCATAAGTTAAAAAGTGTTAAAAAAAGTTTGTGAAAAAGGGTATAAGTCAATTTTATACTACCTAGATAATATATTTTGTATTTTGTATAGACGTAATTTTTGTTTATAATAGGGTTATTTAATATTTTATTGTTATAATACTTCGTTGCAAGACGATTTCCAAAAGAACGGCATTACTTTTAAATTCGGCACGAAGTAAGTACCTACCTACATTTTTTTTAATTTAATGATATATTACCTAACCTTTGATTTAAAAAAAAATAAAAAAATATTTTAAGATTACACTTCGATGACTCAACATTTAAATATCTTAATTTATTTATCGAATTTCAAATGCAAAATGATTGTTATAAATTTAGAGTAAATTAATCTTTTATAAAACTTCAATAAAACAATAATATTATGCTTCTCCTTTACGTTCTATACGGTATATTTTATGTATTTTAAAATTTTAAACTTTAAAACGAGCTGTATATTTTAACGATTTAAATATTATTTTATACCTTTTGGTTAGATTTGAAATAAAATTATAAAAATAACGCAGAAATGAAAGCACGCGAATAATGTTAATTACTCTATAAACACTATTAATAATAACGAATTGAATTAGAAATTAAGAGGAACATTAATATGAAGTCATACGTTGTACATATATTACGCAATTACGTCCATGCCACCCCTTGCCAAATAATTTCATTTCGTAAACTTCCATAACAATTTACATTAATTAAAACGATTTTAAAATACACTCAATATTTCAAGTTTGATTCAAAAAGTATAWAAAAAWAATAATATGATCACGCTTACCCCTGTTGAATATATTGGATTGGCATGTTGGACAGAGCAATATGATGCTTTTGTTTGACCACCGATATGTTGAATTTTGCTTTGTACGCGGGTTCATCGTAACACGGGAACGCTCTTCTCGCATAAGTCGGCTGGAATTGCGTCACAGCTAACCACCTGTTGCGTTTCGTTATGGGACCATCAKAATATCGCGTAGGTATAATTCACCGTGCAAATCGTCATAACAATAATTATAATAACAATGCTGTACTTACTTGGTCGCGCCTCGCTCCTCGTACGAATCCAAATACAAACCGGTCATGTCAGTTCTTACATTGCCGGCGTAAGTTATCGACAACCGCAGACACTTACCTATAGGGACGGACCTAATAAGATGGATTTCAAACTGTTCGTCATTCRTCAGGTACAACCAATGGCTTATTTTTAAATCCAAAGGCCTCGAGACGTTTGTTATATCTGCCACCGTCACGGCGGTCACGTTCAGGTCCTTGAGATTCACTGTCACGACTTCGGTGGTCGAAACGACAGTAATATCTATATTCACTTGGCCTCTGAACGTTAAGTTATCGGTACCGGTGAAGTTCTGTAACTCGAACCGTAAGTCGTAATAATCCGGAACCGTAGTTCCAGGCAGMCGGAACACAGCGTTCGTGGTTTCCGCCAGACTCGTATTTCCATCGTGTCCGCTCAACTGCTGCACCAGGGCATGGAAACACAATACGTGGACCAAAAAATATGTCAACTGCATGATTGCAGCTGCAACGCACGAATAAAACTTATAATTAACTGCGTCTAATATACTATTATAATGTTCTCGTGTAAAGATACGTCGGACTCGTATTAGTTTTATCTTATCTAGTTTACTAAATGCAAGATTCTTCCGTGTTATAGGTAATACAGCCATTCACCTCCAAAGAAGTCGATGTCGAAATTGTTGTGTCATTTCGGAACAATTTACGACCCTTCCTCTAATCGCAGTAAGTAATCCGTTAACAGCTCACCACTTGAAACGAATTTCATTATATCATAWTATGTTTGAAACTTTTATTCCGTCGTATTTGAATTTCTTTTATGTCATTCCAGTTTATATTATCATTTCTCAATTTCTGATTTTGTCCCAACATAGGTACTAACGAGCAAATGGAATTTGATCGACGAACGTGCGATATATCTTTCGTGTTTTTTTTTTCGTTGTGTCTCTAATAGAGTTCACTTCTTCAAAAGTCGATAACCCTCATAAACTACTCCTGAATCAAAAGTATTCGACCATAGGACCATGTCTGACACTGTTTGTATAATATTAAACATAACACTCAAATGATAAAAACGTCATAAGAATTAGCTTTTTATAACTTCAAACGCTCATACAAAATGAACGTGAAATAATATTCAAATAAACTTCTTTTTTTAATGTAGAAAAACTTATGAGAAGCCTAATATTAACTTTTTTTCAATWATTCTCGGTGCTCCACGCGCCTATATTTAATTTTACTGAAAAAATTCGCGAAGAAGTCACAGCAACACAGCTCACACCGGACTGCAATA